CAATCGTACCCGCATTTGACAGAGAGCGAGTTTCGACAGGTTCCGACTTGTCACCTCCTACGTGACGTACGACCGCAGCGACGAAGTATTGTTGTCACGTGAGAGGTGACTTACGACCGATAAGGGTTAAATTGTTTTCTATGTAAACATGATTACTTGTCTGTTGCATCAACTGTTTACATTTTTGTCTCTTTGATATATATACAGATCAATATCATACAATTTGCGTGTATATATATATATATATATATATATACACACACACATATATNATATATATATATAAAATGGAAGTTATTTTTTAAAATCTTTAATACATACTAAAAACGCACATCACCGATAAACAGTATGTTACAAATAACAAAATTATAATTTTAAGCAAAAAATAAAAAAAGCATGTAATATTTAAAGAGAAACATATTCACAAATATTTCCATCTATATTTCAGAACTAGAAACTTTTAAATCACAACCATGTAAGTGAAGCATGCAGCGTAAAAAAAAAGGGAAGTATTATTCGTGATATTAGTTTATACATTACTCATTTTAAAGATTTTATTTACGCGTGGCGCACGTAAGATATAGTTTAGATCATTATAATAAATAATGCTAACTGGATGACCGGATACTTGAGAAAATACCTACTTATGTGTATAAAACGATGTAAAATATGAAATGTCTTACCTTGGTGCACAGGTGGTTGCGAAGAAACTGAACTTTGTCCAATGTTTCCTCCCGATTGTTGGCTCACATCTTGAATAGAACCGTCATTTTGGGCTGGTGTATTGGCGGAACTGTTTTCCATGTTACTCATCTGAAGTGTGTACACATTAGCACGTCACTTACGATGATAATATTGTTTCACAATGTTGCAATACTTTTCGTTAATGTAACAGGCTCTTTATGCTTCTTGTTTAAAAAAATTCGCTATTAAGTACATAATATTATACATCGATATATCAAGTATAATATCATACTTCACTTACAATTGATATTTGATCTTCATCAATACTGCCTTGAGATTCTGTACTAGTGTTTACTGGTCGCCTCAGATTCTCCCCACTTTCTTGCGATACGATTAAAGGTTCAGGTTTGACGATATTAGTGGCTACTAGTGTTATTTCGTTAATGTCTTCCGGCTTATCGCCAGAACCGGACGTTGAACCAGTGGAGGATTTTCTTAACCTTTTCCTACGGAAAGAGGGAGACAATGGAGATGGGCTGGGTGAACAGGATTCACCGCGGTCTCCACCGCCTGTTTCACTACTACCGCTTGGCCATTTTGTCAATGACGCTGTATGCATTTCCGCAAGTCCTTTTATCTTTAAGCTCTCCGCTGTCTGTTAAACAAATCAAAATATATGTGTAGTGTCACACGATCAAATTACTCAATCACTTGGTAATTAGAGAAAGGTGTTCCTTACCTTTATGATAGACGGCAATTGATCTTGAGATATGTTTACTTCTCCATAATACATGAAGTCTACCATAATCTTGAGGTCCGAGAACTTGATGTCCTTAAGTATAACAATAGGATGCTGACAAGGATTCACTGTGAATAATGACTGAAAGTATGTACTACATGCCGATAGTACAACTTTGTGGGCCTGGAGATGTCTGCCTTCAGCAGCGAGAGTAACGTCCACCAAGGTCTCATTATTCAGCAAATTGGAGAAAACTGAGATGAAATTAGGTTGATGATTGTTCCATCGCAAGCAGAACTGTTGCATAGACATTGTGACAAGCTGGAAGACTTCTTCCGTAAACTTCAACTGCAATACGATAAAATAAAAACAAAGTTAACAAGGAATGAAGTGTAATAGAAAAAAATATAAGTATCGCATATATGAATAGCACGATGATAAAACAACACTTGAACTGTCACAAATGTACCGTAGCGATGAATATTATTAGCCAAGCGACGAAATTCCCGCTTTTAAATAATAAACGAAGACACAGTGAGAGAAAAAAAATATTAGAAGAAATATCTAACGATTATGAATGTCGAACATCATAAATAATGCATCGGTTTCCTCGAAAAGTACATAAGAAACGCGAGGTGTCGATGGAAGATGACACATCGTTCCGCACCGTCGAGCTGCGGAAACTCCGGTGACGCTGACGGCATTTAGCAGTGCGTACGAGACGCACAACAACAAACAATGTGCACACTATAGGCTCGTCGAAAACATCGTCCTGCGGTTTCGTGCGCGGAATCCAGCTTCTGGAATAACGATAATCACGACGACGGTGATACTGGTGAGGAAAAATTCGAGAGAAAGCCTCGGTGGAGCGCTCACTTTGACTGCGAAGCGTTTCGTGTCGTGCGATTCCTCGTGTTGCGAGCGACGAAAAGCTCGTGTCGTTCGGAGAGCAACACGCACCTCGTCACGATGATGGTTGTGATAGTGGTCGTCGTCGTCGTTGTCGCGGCCGCTACCACCATGGATCCCACGAAATTTTCCACACAGACTGAGCGATGACGCTTGTGTAATTCGCGAGTGACGTCATAGGCAAGAGAGGATTTATGTGTGACGACGACGCCGCTGTAGTAAACGCTGAGGTAGACCGCGCGCGCGGCCGAATTTCGCTCGCGTGTCCACCGAACGCTCGTAACGATTGTATACGCGCGTAATGCGGGAGAATTGCGTGCGATCGAAAAATATACGCAAGATCTTATCAATGTGCGTCTTCACAAATCTAACTTGATCAATATAGCGGTGAGGCAGCGTCGCCATCTGACGAGCGATCCATAAGCGCGCACGATAATTCGAATAGTTTTTCCCCTTATTTTTCGGCCTGGACGCATTGCGAACGCCAAATATATTTTTTCGGGTGTTTACCGACAATTAATGTCGGTATTTAGACCTAACTCCCTCACAACACATCAACGTTCCGATAAGATTACGGTAACATTAAATAGCAACATGTTAACGTTCCACGGAGGTTAACAAACCTGTCATTAATTTTCCAGTAACCTTGAATGCCTTGAGAAATTGGCCAATCACAATTGATTTTTCTTCCATAATTCAACTGTGATTGATCAATATTTTAAGACTCAGAGTTTAAAGTGCCTATTATAGACCGGGAAGAAAGAATTGACGTTTTGACAGAAAAGCAGAAGCCAATCAGAACCCGTGCTGGTAGTAAGCTAGATAAAGCGACCACCAGCGTGAGTCCTGATTGGCCGCTTGTTCTATCAAGGTGTGAATTCTTCTCATTGGACCACCGGCTGCTACATACGACGTATCGTAAGACCAGGCTTCGGGGAATGGGCAACGTCGATAAAATCTCGAGAGTTCTGAGCTTCATCGATACCGACCCTCGATATCGATACGCGGTAACCCCGCGTCGGAGGTGCTGCCGTGTGTACCACGATTCGCGCGACGCCCTAACCTCGGCGCCGCCGCCGTCACTCGGTTGCTCCGTTCCGCGTTGCGTCGTGCTCCGATCACACGGCGGTGTGTGTATCAGGCGTATCCTTCGTTCAGTGCGACGACAACGGCATGTGTACTCACGAGCTTTCTCCCGCTGCGTCGTGCCGTTGATCATCCGGGGTTTGGCCGTCTCGGTGGAAGAAAGTAGCAGAAGGTGCGTATCGACGGGGATGAAATGGCGGGGGAATCGACCGGCCCCGAAGCGGGCGCGTCGTCGCGTGTTAACATCACTGTTCAGTCCACGTTTCACGGAGTCCGCTCCGATCTCGTCGACCTTCCCGGTCGGGACTAGTGACCAATTTTCGAGATCGCTACGAATCCGTTGGTCTCTCTTACCTTCTGGCGCACACACGAGGAGTCGTCCCGTGTCGGCCGACGTTTCCTCGCCATTGATTCACACGGAGCGTCGAAATCTTGCAGGTGCGAGCCGTCGTTCGTTGCGCCGGGAACGATTAACATATGTGTAACGAGCGCGCCTCGATTCAGTGCTGGACTTGAGTCCGCGGGCAAGTTCATTTCCTCCGGAGATAGAGGTGATCCCTCGTCGCTGCGGGACCGAGTTACCATCTGTGCATCGCGCGGTTAAAACGTCTCCATGCGGAGCAGTGAGTGATCGATCTTACACATGTCCTGTGGAAAGGAAGAAAGTTTGGAAGCGCGCTGCCACGTTTTTAGAAACGTCGGACGCGCGGCGGCTGTTCACGTCTTATGTGTGGCTCCCTCCCTCTCTCTCTGTGCCTGCGTCATGCGTGGATTCGCCGACGCGAGATCGTTCGCGGATCGATAACGGGATTTTCGAACATCGCAACCGGTTCATCGTTCGCCATCGTGGCGCATTCTCAGTGATGTGGCTACGCGATCGCTTTTTTCCTTCGAAAGGATGCACACCTCCGACTTTCAAAGAATCGAGTACGCAGGTAGCATGCGACGCGTAGCCGTGGCTTAATAACGGTGCCACGAAGTGTACAGGCGCGAGTTTATGTTGTTTCTCCCGCATTGCGAAAAATCACGACTGTCGTTGACTCGGCGGTCGCTCTCCGATTCGGCGAATTAGAAATTCAAGGAGGGACACATACGCGAATTCCGCGCGGGTTGTGGTACACGCCCTGTACGTGCGAGGAGTCACGTTACGGCCGGAGATAATCTCTTTTAATTCCAGGTGCGAATTAAAACGGAATTCTTCATCGCGAGCGCTGGGCGCTCGTTAAGGAAATTTAGTCTCGTTAGTCGGGCATAATTCGTTGATACTAGATGCATAAATAAATTCGCTGCCTTTTTTTAAATATGATTTTTCAATGTTTATTTACAAAAAAAACCAATAACCTGTTAATCTTCGAAATCATTTTCCACACACTTTTGCCATCTTTCAGCTGCGAATCCCGGCTCCGGTAAAAGGATGGTAGTTTTGACTCAATGAAGCCATCAACTATTACAGTTAATCTTCTTAAAGTTTATAATTGGCACTTTCAAATTATTATATTTCAGAGTTACAAGGCATCGAACTTATTTATACACCTAATACTATCATGTGGACACGTTCCGTCAGGAGGGACCCGCGAAACGTTACGACGACCGAATTGGAATTCAGCGGAAACGCGTATCGGAAACACGTCGTTCCGTGTCGGAATTCACTTTTGAAGGGTGTGTCCATTTGTGGACGAAAGCCGCGTCGTTCGCTTCGTGTCTCGAGAAGTTAACTTTTCAGCACATACGCTGAGAGAGAGAGAGAAAGAGACATGTCATCGTTGTTTACGCGCGTGGGTGTCCACCTGGCTGCATTCTCGCTCTACATTTACCGCTGAATGTCGCCGTCCGGTTTTCCGAGAGCGCGCATCTCTCGCTCGTGCGTAACGCGTCCGCGTTTGATCCTTGCCTGAAGAGAAAAGCCTGCGGTCAGATTATACTACTTTAGAGCTGATTTTAGTAATCCCGTCGATTAACCACAACTTTTTGTTCGTCCGAGATTCTCTCGTCCTTTACTTTTAGACGAAACGGCGGACACTTTTTCACGGGGAAAGACAGATAGACAGAGACGATGGAATATTGAAACACGGCGAGCCGCTCTCGTCTGCTCGCGACAGATGGAATCTCAGTGTATCGCGACGGTCGTTTAGGAACGGTCGCGAGACACGTCGCTAAAATCGATCTATTGTAACCGGGTCAGCTTCTGAGGTCCTCATCTCACGTTGCCTAGCTAAAAAACAAGTTAAGCAAAATGGACTGAATGTCGTAACTCGGTTTAGAAGTCGTCATGCTCCGTGAATTGTCAAGGATTGTAAAAAGTCCGTCCGTCCGTCGTTTTTGCCATCGTTTCGTGTAAATCCCTATGATTTATCGCGAAGATCGTTTATAATGATGTTTTCGGCGATTCTCTTCGCTCCGACAGGTGAAAGTTTGCGAAATAGGCGGAGCGTGAAGCGTCGTTTATTATAATCATCCGCTGATTTAAAAATAATTTACGCCACGATGTTCATGCGAACAGACGAACAGTTTAATTCGGTGGTCGTTAACGCCGGAGGATTCTGGAACGCGTTGTAAATGGTCGGGACGCAAACAATTCTTTTTTTTTCATATCAATGAATTTGAACAATGCTAATTGTAGAACGGCGTGACACAAAACGCCGCGAAAATGTTTTGTGCCTCTCTCGACTGTTTTTTTCGCAACGTGCCGGCGGAGCGCTATTGTGTTCGTTCGTTTCCACATTTACAGTTACCACGTGTCCCCGTGGATCTTCCCGTCGATTCACTTGAAAGCGTCTTCTTGGCGTTCGCGTTGCTCGAAATTCCGGATTCATTGGTCGATCCGACACGTAAAAAAAGAAACGATTCGATATTAGCAGCTAAATCTCAGCTAAAAGATTTTCACACACTATTAGCTGATATTTTCCGCTGTGGAATCTAAATTCAACCAGTTGCTGAATTTAGCGCTGCGACAGCAACGACATTAGCTGTCTCTATTTTAAAATGGATCCGGATCGAGAGAACGAGCACGAACGAACATCTGCGAGCAAGTCCGAAAAAATAGTTATGGACAAACACGTTTTCTCTGATGTACCGACACGATATCTAACATGTTCGCAGATGTTCGCTTTCGCTTGGTCTTAAAGATTCAGGCTCTCCGAATCCACTTTTAACTACCACGGCTACGTCTTAGCCCCTATGGTTGATTCTTTCTCTGAATGAAGGAACGCAACGCGACAGGCGACTCGTTCTTCCCGAGGAACTCGAGGAAGAGACGCCTCGTTTAGCCTCAGCTCGAAATTAATTTTCTCGATCTGTCGGCGAATCAGTCCTTGTCGCAGCTGATCCTACCGCTTGGGAACGTAATTTCGCAGCACCCGCTCTCGTTCAGCGCTCGATCGCTACATAAATCGCGGACGACTACTAGAAACCAACTAGTAAAAACCGATCGTTTGCGACATCCTCGCGCGGTTTGCACCTCCTTTTCTTCCCCATCACGCCGCTTCACGCGATGAGATGGTTCTCCTCTTCGTCATCGTCGTTGTCGTCCGCTGAATGCAACCGGAGTTCCGTTTAAAGGTATACGGTGCACTTGTCCGTCTTCAAGGCATGTAGAGCACTCCAGAGACTCGCTCATCGGAGCAGCGGTCCCTTGGGGGGGNNGGGGGGGGGAGAGAAAATCGTCTCAAGGCCGCGCGCCTTGTCGTGTTGCAATGCAATTGCGCCGAGAATGATCTGTCATGGAACAGCGCAGGACGTTCTTCTCTCTCTCGTCGACAACAACGACGATAACGACAAGAGGGTTGCGATAATGCCGCCGCGCGCCTGGAGGACCACTATTCTCACGTTCTCACGATCCCGAAGTTTGGAAAGCGTGGGGAAATGTGCGTGATTACACGCTTCTACGATTGTATTGCGAGGTGCTTCGAACAGAATGAAACTGACTGATGGCCGACGTCGCCGTCGTGAGAGATAACGTTCGAATTCTCGACTGTTTTATATACCTCAGATTAGACACGTCCGAACGATCGCGTCCGAACTATATGCTTGCTCGGAGTTTAGGATAGATTCCGGATGAATGATCCTTTTGGCGTTGACAGACGTGTCTCTTTCCGTGCGTGAAATCTGAAAAGAACGCCGATTATCTCGTCGGAAACATTGAAAAACCAACCAATTGTTGATCACTCGATCAACGATTCGATCGTCGTGAAATGGGTAAAAATTTAGCCGAGCGGTCCATAACGTGTTAACAGCTCTTTCGATCATCGTAGGAATCACGCGCGAAAGAAAAAAAAAGAGAAAAATCGCAACCTTCTGGCGACCTTCGCGAGGGAAGTCGCGAATAATTCGAGTAGTTCATTGAGACGTTAATCGCGAAAATTCCAGGCGACACGTTAAATTCCTCGCCACTTTCCAATCAATTCCGAGTGCACTTTAACGCGACTCAATCCAATACTTCGATTAATTGATTAATTGAAGAGCAGTGAGGTCGCGCACGGAGAGACGACGTTGTGCTTCTTCGTCGTCGACTGCACCGTCCAGACATCGCACACTCGTTAGTTTCATTCGCAGTTTTGAATTATTATTCGCGCGAGGATCTCGATTTTTTTCGATTTTTATTCAAGGAAATCTTCCTTCCGTCCACCGCTGCGCATTATCTGCACCGGCAACCATCGGCACGTATCCAGCGTGAACAATGATGAAACATCACTGAAACCGCGATTCGCTGCGCAGCCGACAAATGGTATTCGTGATAGATAACACCGCTTGATGTTGCTCGGTGTATGCGCGCCGTTTACGTCACTGTTTCTCCTGAGACAGAGAGAGAAAGAGAGAGAGAGAGAGAAAGAAACGATACTTAATTATGCCGCGTTTCGCCAGTGATTCACGAAACGAGTGAAAGGTGCTTCTCCACGGCGACGGTATCGCACCGCCAGGTTCTCCCGCGAGAGAACCGATAAACATGTAAAGAGAGAAAGAGTTACCTGACTGTTGGCAGCTGCTACACTGTTAGAAGAAGTAGCGACTCGTGCATAAGAAGCCTTGCTTATCCGCAAGGACGCCCGTCCCGGTGACCCAATTTTCCACGACTCTCCGTTTGACATTTGCTGTCATGATCACGTGCCACGTGACTCGACAGCACAATAAAATGTCAGAGATACGAGACAAATGCCAAAGATATCACGCACAAAAGGTTGAGCGGATAACGGTTAGCCGTTAACGAAAGAGATTAACGCTTGTAATCTTGTGGTGCCGAACGGGCGTGTGATAACCGTCCGTAACGAAATTTAATTTAACATCTGTATGTACGGTATGCCGGTTACTGCACACAGACGCCCCGTGGAAACGTCAAAACGGTGCGCGCCTCGTTTTAATCCGTTCTCCATCAGGCGGGAAAACCTTACGCCGGTTTGTGACCCGTATAAAACGACGCGTAATAACGGTATATCCGTACGATATCACGATCTTCATTCTATCACATCGTGCATTGTGGGCCTCCGCATGTGGCACGCCGCTCCGGCGGGATCGTATTGTTCCCGAATTCGATTCCCAGTCATACTCTTGACCTGGTATAACCATGTGCGACATATATATCGGTGATCTTTTAACTATGTCTGATTGTATAATCGAGCTATCGTGTGATTTATGCGTTCTCCCGCGGACGATAAACCAATCGCAGCATAACAACTTGTGAATGACCGGTGGCTCTCCTTAAGTAATCTGAAAAGCGTTAAGTGCTAAGAATACTATTGTATAAAAGCATACCGTTAAAATAGAGGAGATAATCCCTCTGAAAAAAGCATGTTAAGTCGATATTTGAAATTACCGAAATTATTGTTGTCGTTTTTCCGCGATACTGATTGGCTGACGCGTTACAACGTCGCGGCTTACCTTACACGTGTCGTTTGTGGTTGTAAAATCATTACGTGAATTCTGACAATTCGTAAATTTGTGCGTTAAAAAAGATAAAAAAAAATGAAATATCAAGAAAAACGGAGAGAAATAAGTTTTTAATCTGATGAAAAAATTTTAGTCCAATGCCTGTTTAATTATACGAACTGAGATTTCTTTCTGTGTAATAGTAGTTAAAAATAAATAGCGTGTGCCTGTATTCTAATAAATATAAATAGTGAAATATTCGCGATAATAAAAAGCAACATAAATAATTGAATATCTCTGCATTTGATATCTCAGCTATTTAGAAATGATTCAGAGACGAGTATAATTTGACACGTAACTCCCTGGATAATTTCATAATGGTTCTGTACCAAAATATTCTAAAAGTATTCGTTTGTCGATGTAGAAGCATCGACAACTATCTTTAACATCGAATCGAAATCTCGGTGCCTCCAGGAAGAGAAAGAGAGAGAAGGAAGGAGAGAAAACAATTAATCTTTGAATGCAAATACTTAATTACATCTGTGCGTTATTATTGAAATAATCCGCGGGCAACATCACGTCTGTTAAATTCAATTAGGTCGTGTAAAATATTCGATCATCGTTTTATCGCGTCGCTTGCTTTTGTTACGCATTAACCGTGATATCGATAATGCGTTTCATTTGTCAAAATGCGGGTGTGTGTATTATCAATTCAAGATAAACTCGGTCGATGAGACAGAAATTTCGCTGGCAACTGGCGACGTGAAGGTTATGCTTATTAGCCGATTATTCCATAATTTTACATTAATATGTAACTCGCGCGATGACAGGCCGATATAGTTCGTTTCTAATTATTTCGAAAGAGATAGCCAACGACAAAGTCATCCGCCATCGTTCTACAATTTCACTCGCGTCATTCGTTATCACGAAGCCGCGAATACGAGTGTCATGCTAACTTCGCGAAAATTATCACTCGTAAGTTAGACGGACGATACATTTTGTAAACAGCCGTTCATTCTCAAGCACCACGCTCTTGCACATCGCGCTTCACGTCTGCCCTTTTCTCTTGTCTCAGTCTCCACTCGATGGTGTAACAATGCGATGTTACTTTATTTTACTTATATTGATCCTTAGTTATATAAAATAGCCATACAAAACAGGCCATACTTCTCTCTCTCTCTTTCACCTTACGATTTGCTTGTAAACAGATTCACATATATGGAATGTTCGTGAGAGTCCCGAAACTTTATAGATTATTCGGCGTATTCCTTCGCCGAATTAAGACCTGCGAATAGGTATTCTGGAATTCCTCTGATTTTCACTGATCCGATGATCACTTGGAAAAATCACATCAATCGCGTCAATATCGACGAAAGTCCGGATTGCGCTTTCAAATAGCCTTGAGATCCACTTTTGTCGCGGTACACTCGCTCGTTTCTGTTGAACGCGCGATGTCTCTCGATGACACTGCATTGGAATAATAGAAATAGCATGAGTGGACGAAGACAACTGTCGTAATCGAGGGCGAACACGCGATTCGTCACGACGATATCGTCGCGCATAATAACGTCTCAAGGATCACTCTGCGCTGATATCGATTTTTATCGGCCGATTGCATGCAATTTCTGCTGATAAATAATGTGTCATATGTTATACCGCGACCGAACGTCATCATTACCGGCCGGTAATGTCGTAAATCATCGTCAGTTCACTGAGTTCGCGTTAAATCGCAAGTACGTCCATCATTGGGAACTACGGAGAATATTGCACAAGGAATACACCGCTACTTATTAAGTAATATGCGGCAAGGAGAGCGCGGAGAACGCTTTTCAGTGAGCGAAGGAGAAATACGGAGATGAAAAGAGAAGAAGACCACGTCATCCGGTATTACATTACTAGTTGCAACTGTAACATTACTGATTACAACTTTTTTTGCCGTTATCACGATTCTATTCGCCACAACATTTAAAATTTAGAATGAATACCTATCCTAGAAGTCCGCCGAATTTGCAGGGATCCGCATTATGACTTCTTATGCGCAAGATCGATTTCGAATAAATAATAATTATATTAGTTATTAGTAAATAATAGTTATATTAGTTACTATTGTAATTATTAATTGTGCTATCGCGATTCTATTCGCCAATATACGTAGAAAAAAATCCCGAATAAATATCTTGCACCCTAGAAATTCCGGATCCATTGGTCAGTATTACTGTTATCGCGATAATTCTTTATTTTTGCGCAAGCTCTTTCGAATAAAACACGTATACAGGTTGCAAAACTCGATAGATTGCACCAGGTGGTACGCTCGTTGCGTTCGCTCGCGACGTATTGCGCGTATCGTCAATTGCTTTACTGTAACGGTGATTAGTTTACGCGTTGTGTGTATTTAATATACGTGCCACATCACAGACACGTAACTGACGAATGGGAATATAATAATGTAATAATAGAGCACTCGGTAACGATACGCGCATCAGTAAGCTCCCCTTTCTTTCCTCAATGAGAATCTATCTAACTGTCGATCTATTTATTTATCTATCTATCTTTTCTCTCCAGCTGTTAAATTTGCGAGTGTCCTTTATTATTCTCCCGTCGCTTCGATTCTGAGAGGAGCAATTTTCACAGTCGCAAATAGCGACAAGTTAACTTTACACACCCATATATGCATTTCTTCCATACATATTTGCTCTTTGCACGTCATTTGTAACGTTACTTTTTCTCTCAGATAAAAAGGTCGCGCAATGCAACCAGCCAGCAGGGAATGTCACCGTTGCTGTGCTGCAGGTCACCCGCCGTTATTACTGCCATTTCCCGCTCGTTATCGTAATGAAAGTGAATTATTTAGCAGCCGTTAATTAATTAGTACCGTCGGGAACACGGTTGTCTCATCGTAATATAATTTCCCAGGCCAAATAGCCTGGCGCGCGCTAGTGTGCCGGGTGCGTGGGATAATTGCCCGCAGATCCGTATTTCCGTCGTGTCTTCGAAATGCTTCGTTGTTACATTTTCTCCCGCGCTCGCTTTTTTGTCGCAGTTACAGCTGGTACCGACATCGATTGCAAGCCGCTGCGGTACCACAGCTACAAAATTCACGTGTTTTCTTTGTCAGGCCGAGAACTTTTCAAACTACTCTCTTTGCTATTCGACACGAGCGTATTCGCGGATTCTCTCTCTCTCTCTCTCTCTCTCTTTTCTCCTCTCTGGAAAAACCAACGCGGAAACACGTTGGGAGAAAACGTGAAGAAATTTATTCCTCAAAGCTTACCGAAATTTTCCTCTAAGATCTCACACGAGAGCTCCGCCGGACGGGCCGCATTATAAATCCCATTTTAATCGCCGCGAATCGATTTCTCGAAGAAAGAATTCCGTCCGGCGGGCAGTCTTTTCCCAAAAGCACGTACACATTAGCGCTCTCGTCGCATCCGTAATAACTTGAACTGCTTTCCATGTTACAGCACCGCGCAGATCCCAGTCATGTAATGCCACGAGGATTCGGCCAAATTAGCGGAATCCGGTAGTGAACGTTCCCATTCAAATCTCATTTTGCGAATCTGATCGCGGAGACTGGGTGATGAACTCGGCGTACAAGCGGAAGAGCGCCGTTGTAAGATGTTCCGCTCCAAGATTCGCATTCACACATGTCAAGTGATACTCCTGACGTCGCTGGTATGGTTCCTGGTCGACGTCATGGTGTTGATGCTCTATTCAGACTGCATCGGAGGGTCTGGGTGGAGCTGCTCGGATAACAAGCAGCAGCAGGCGCAACAACAGGCGTTGACGGAGGAGCCGCCTCAGCGCTTCCATCCAAAGATCCCGGTTAGGGAGACGTCATCCAAGGAGGAGTCCAGCAAGAAGCAATATTTGCCGTCGAGGTTGCACCTGTGGCGGCCGGCAAAGGTCATCCGTGAGAATAAGGGCAGTCCCGGCGAAATGGGGGCGGCGGTGCATATTTCGCCAGAGAACGAAGCCAAGCAACAAGAACTGTTCAAGCTGAATCAGTTCAATCTGATGGCCAGCGACATGATCTCCTTAAATCGATCCTTAAAAGATATCAGACTCGACGGCTGTAAGAATAAGAAGTATAATAAGTATCTTCCAGACACTAGTATCGTGATAGTTTTCCATAACGAGGCGTGGACCACTTTACTGAGGACGGTCTGGTCCGTCATAAACAGATCTCCCAGATCGTTGCTGAAGGAGGTTATTCTGGTGGACGATGCGAGCGAGCGTGGTATGTTTTTTCATTCTGAAGAACCGGCACGTTTATTTGTAAATTGTAAAAAAAAATGAGCAATCTAGATCGCATGTTGCAGGTGGAAAAATTTAATCCGAGAATAGTCATTTCTTTTACGATATGTAAACGATCACCTGCGGTCGTTTTAGATCTCAATTAAAAGCCGCTATTATTAAAGAAATATAGCATATCAATCATCTATGATTTATTATTATTTCAAGACATTGTAGATGTAGATTTATACCATAATGACGTGAACGTTGGTTTTTCTAGAGCATCTGAAGCAAGACCTAGAGGATTATATAGCGACACTACCGGTTCCCACGTACGTGTACCGCACCGAGAGGAGGTCGGGTTTGATAAGAGCGCGGCTTCTCGGGGCGAAGCACGTGAAAGGACAAGTGATCACGTTCCTGGATGCACACTGTGAATGCACCGAGGGCTGGCTGGAGCCGCTGCTCTCGAGAATCGCGAACGACAGGCACACCGTAGTCTGTCCGATCATAGACGTGATTAGCGATGACACTTTCGAGTACATCCCGGCCAGTGACATGACGTGGGGAGGCTTCAATTGGAAGCTCAACTTCAGATGGTATATTAATAATGTTATAAATATCGCGAGCACCTTTAAGTGTATTATCGCCGCGTTACTTTATTCCTCGATCGACGAGTCAGTTCGATCTCGTGTCTTGTAAAAAGAAGAAAGAACAGGAATTTGAGTTGCAAATGCGAAAATCAGCTTACATATTTTGCATACGATGAATAGTTAGATCTGTAGATAGCTGAACTCACGTGGAATACTAAGTCTATCGATCCATACCGATATATATATATATATATATATATATATATATNGTCGTCACGTTCATACATCCACCGGTTCTCATTCTAATTCGGTTACATTTACATACATAATGACCCGAAATATAATTAATGGCGGCCGCTCTTTTTCTCTCCCTCGCATACACATATACACACACATAATTACTACGAGCCGTCGAGCTCACAGATTTACGGTCTCCCGTATTCATTGCATGCGTACAAAGCGTCCTGTTGTTTAATTAAATTTTAATTTATCCGCCGCGCGTGGATTTCGACCAAGACAAAGCACGTCGTCGACAAGGTCCGAATCGCTCGTCACTCTCCGGCAAATTTGCAATGTCTAATTTTCTGGCAACGACAATTTCCGCTTAATACCACGCCAATGCCTTCGCTTAACAAGGTACAGAGTCGCACAGAGAGAGATGGACAGAAGAAACGGCGACCGAACGGCACCGCTGCGAACGCCGACAATGGCCGGCGGTTTATTCTCTATCGATAAGGAATACTTCTACGAGTTGGGCGCGTATGACGAAGGCATGGACATCTGGGGTGGCGAAAATCTCGAGATGAGTTTCCGAGTAAGTTCTCTCTCTCTCTCTCTCTCTCTCTCTCTCTCCCCCCTTTCTCTCTCTCTCTCTCTCTCTCTCTCTCTCTCTCTCTAAGATACGATAAGAAGAGAGATCGCCAATTTGGTGCGATAAAAATTATACATCATATGTTTCGGCTTGAACAAAGTCACACTGCATATGTGATACAACTATTCCTAATATTTGTATAACAATAGGAGACCGGGTTCTGAAAGGGTTTTTCCTCAATATGGGTGGGGTGTATTTCGTTGTCATAAAACTTTCACTGTTATTTGTGAAGTCATAAGTGCCTTATAGGTGTGGCAATGTGGCGGAACATTAGAAATCAGTCCGTGCTCACATGTGGGACATGTATTCCGGGACAAGAGCCCATATACATTCCCCGGCGGTGTCAGCAAGATAGTCCTGCACAATGCGGCCAGGGTGGCCGAAGTCTGGATGGATGAGTGGAGAGATTTTTACTATGCCATGAATCCAGGTTAGATAATCTGCAGTGTACCGTTTCATTCGTTTTGCGATGTTGTTGGTTGTACTACGTTGCGCTAAACGATGCCGTCGTTATGCACACTAAATATATATATATATATATATATATATATATATATATATGCATGTATGTATATATATATTATACATACGTGTCTAATGCAATATACCCAACCGATCAATACCTATAGTAGTGTCACGTCAAAATTCTCATTATCTATTTCTCTCTCTCTCTCTCTCTCTCTCTCTCTCTATGTATGCCACGAACTCCCGATTCTCTTCTTAAATTATCCGTCACGTTCCAAATAGATAATATACAGAAGAAATTTAATTGAATTATAACAGGATACATATTTATTTCATGACTGAAAAGATGTTTTAACGAAACTTTCATGTAATGCCGGTGTTCATGTAGCGCGCTTATATCGGAAATAACGGTGTTATTTATGGTAAAGCCGTTTTTAGAAAAACCGCTGACTGAGCGACAGTATATATCCTATTTGACGGGTATCTGATACATGCCGTTTATTACCATACACCTCATCGAACTGTTTCATAGTTCGTATAGTTATATAAGTTGCAATTGTTTTTGAATGCGTTATTTCTTGTTTAATCAGTTACCTCTCCACATCATTCAATAACTGGCGCGCGCTGCGTCAATTGTACTCTTACAATACGACTTTTTTAATACGCCACCAGCTACAAATAGGATCACAATCTGTCGGATTCTCGTCCAGGCACTCCGAAATCATTCGTTTACCTTCAGTTTTCAATTTTCAACGCCGTCCGATAAATTGAAAGCCGAAGACAGTAATGGTGCCAGATTCGCATCGGCACGAGAACTAGCCGAAGCGACAGCTTTATCTCGCAGAGATACATCGTTAATTAGTCGATCATCTTCTATGGGTGTTATGCACATGATTTTATATTGCATTATGTGTTACTTACTAATAATCTCATACATAACATCTTGTAGTTGTCTTTACGGTTTACGTTACTCATCCGCTAATATCTTCCGCGAATATCGAGATCTCTAACTGTCGTAGAAATTGTCTCCAATCTGTAGAATCTCTCTGCGTTGATCGCCGCTGAACACTTTATCCATTTCCTCCATTCATCCCGATCTCTTGGATCAATAAGTATCAGCTTGAACGGAGCAAAGCATTTAGAAATAGCTACGGGGCATCATAAACGTGTACCACGTGTTGTCGAATGAACGTTTCCAGTGATGTTTCGTTTCTGTGTCTTCCCGGCACACGCGCTGACTGTAGTCTTTAACCACTCATCCATCCAGCCGACTAACCAATTGAGATTTACGCTTGCTTCTTTTTTAATAATATATACTTTTTATCAAGCCACATTATAGGTGCCGCAAAGGGGAAAGTGCGGGACTCTAAGTCCATCACGAGGCGCAGAAATATTACAACACACACACACACACACACACACACGCGCGTTCTTATTCTTCCTCTTGTTTTTCTCTCATTATTATTCTTAATTTGTTTTCTCAATCCTCTCGTTTCTTATCGTGTTTTAAAACCGTTGCAACTGCTAACACAACTAACAGAACTGAGTTGGTTAGATATGGATGTGTGGTGGGACATTGGAAATAGCGACATGCTCGCACGTCGGGCATGTATTCCGTAAGTCGACCCCGTATACCTTCCCGGGTGGTACGAGCAAGATAGTCAACCACAACAATGCGCGGCTCGCAGAAGTTTGGTTGGACCAATGGAAGTACTTCTATTACAACATTAATCCAGGTAGCACTAACCACTGGCGAACCTCATAAAAAAAACTAAAAAGAAAGAGAAAGATCTCTAGATCTGCGTATTTTCTCTCGCACGTAGCATCCTTGCCTATGAGTATACTTTTTTTATTCTTTTTATCGGTCGCTTTTCCCGCGGTAACAGCATGTTTATCCGCGGGATATATTTGCAGGTGGTGTTTGTCTGTGCATGATGTCTCTCGTTCGTTTCTGTTCTCGGTTTACGGCTGCTTTCTTTCTCTCTATCTATCTCTCTCTCTCTTTCCGTCTATCAGATACCCGTTAACATTTATTTAAGACATCGTCGCTATTACGTTCGACCGTAACGTAATATAACTCAATATGATCATACATTGATAAAGTAATTGGATAAACCAGACATGATATGTACGATAGCACAATTATGCAAGTAAAACGTTCGAAGGTGTGTACTCTAGAGAATAAGTCACGCACAGCGCACTGCAGGGTTCCTTGTGCTGGCATATATCATATTGTGATCGAAGGGATATCGTTGAAACGAGTTATTGAACATACAAACTAACACGAATACGATGAGACGGATGTTCCATGTTCTTCTTCTAGTATTCGATCTAATCGGCAAAGTCACACACTCGCGCGCAAAACATGTACAGAACATTGGTAAAGCACGTTATTTGCACGCTACATCCACCACGAAGGCAAGTTAAAGGCATTAATTAGAAGACGACGTTACCTCGCGAACCTCCTCACCTACATCTTTCACAAGATTGTCAGAAGATTTATGCGTTGCGTAATTGCACATTTCTTTCTTTTTTTTTTTTTTTTTCTCTTAAGAGCAAGCATACGGCATTGATGTATCATACAAGTATCATGACCAAATTTCGTTGCTTCGGCACTGAAATGCTGACAAGTCTCCTCTCGATCGATTTACGCGCGAGCACCACAATGTGTAAAAATCACGTGTAAACAAGTCACCACTCTCCGGTGACAGATTATAATGAGAATCTATGTTTTGCAGGCGCGCGAAACGTCGACGTCGGCGATGTGTCCGAACGGGTGAAGCTCCGAGAACGATTGAAGTGCAAGAGCTTCAGGTGGTACTTAGAAAACATATACCCGGAATCGCCGATGCCACTGGACTATTATTACCTCGGCGATGTGAAGAACGTCGAGACGCAGACCTGCCTGGACACGATGGGCAGGAGGACCGGAGAGAACGTTGGCATTAGTTATTGCCATGGATTAGGTGGCAATCAGGTTCGTATGTCATTTCCGCAGCTGAGATACATGCGATATCAACTTATCCGGCCGACGTTCATTTTACAATGACTGTAGGTAGCTAATTTTGGTAAAGGGATAGTTGCTTCGTCCGATTCGACCGAGAATCTTTTGCACTCCACACGCGATTATTCTGGAGCATTCTGTGTATACAGGTTTCTTATATACTGTCTAATATTTTAAAAGTGAATGTTTGAAGTCACTTTACGAAGTACATATGCACGAAGATACCTCGTCTCAGAAATACAGGATATTAAAAATTCTAGAAAATTATCGTTTTTCTTAACCCTCCATTGACAACCTGGAGGGTTCAGTATCTCCTCCTAAGAAAAGGGTGTTGTCCTTAGCAGATTTTGAAAAGTTTGATATTGCGTGTATCTTGCGTAGAATAAAGATTGAGATATCGTTCCTAACTGCACCGCATCGAGAGAATTCTGTTATCCTCGTTTCTGTAACTGTATGATCCAGGTGTTCGCTTACACTAAACGGCAACAGATAATGTCCGACGATATGTGCCTTGATGCAGCTAGTCCGCAAGGTCCTGTGAAGATCGTACGGTGTCACGGAATGGGTGGTAATCAAGCGTGGGTGTACAACGACGAGGTAAAGCGAGAAGAAATCTAGAAGAAGCGGGAGGGAAAATAGTAGTTAGCACGAAACTGTTCGCTCGACGCTATTTAACGTATGTATCCTTTCTCTTTTCCAGACTAAGATGATCAGGCACACGAACACGGGCCATTGTCTGTCGAAACCCCACTCGGGCGACGCGTCGCAGCCCGTCCTAACGCAATGCGACCCCAACAACATCGGTCAAAAGTGGATAATGCGTAGCAAATTCAAGTGGCAAGCCAGCTAATATACGAACCGATTCTAAATGCAAGATCTGCACGCAATATTTGTTAATAATAATAATAATAATAATAATAATAATACTGACAAACTGTTTGCTCCGAAACGAAATACTCGAGTGCGCGAACGAATGGAAAAGAAAAGAAGAGAACCAAGTATTACAATCAATGGGAGAGAGATCCCTGTTCGGTATCACGTCTAATTAGCGATCCAGATACACGTCGGGATCATCAACACGATGACGAGGGAGGGGAAACAGTGCACACAGAGAAAATCGACTGACGAAATTTCGCCGTTCAAGCATGGGAGAAATCGGGCAAGAAATCGTTAATTCTTGATCACTATAGGATTTCATTCACCACAACGTCGGGAACTTTCTTGTGCTACGTATTGATCCGAGACGCAAGAGTGACAGAAATGAACATCTCCGATTGACGTGTGAACGTGAGTGATACACTGTACGGCGTACAAGTGAACGTTTCCTTTTTCTTCTTTCCTGGCTTAAGCAGCAGAGAAGAAGACATATCAGATATCACTGTTATAAATAATTGTTAATACAAAAGAGAGAAAAAAAAGAAAGACATATTTGATAACTTCGAATGAGTGCAATGACGGATGACTGGCCGTTAGATGGGCGGCGCGATAAATAATATGTGAATATGCTAGAATATACGATACACACTCATTTTATCACAATATTATGACGGGGAACGATGCTGGAATGCCGGTGAAATCGATGTGACGTTGGATACTGCGCGGTAACATAGAAATGAATTATTGTACAATCCACTAATTAATTAAGGAAGAGCACCTTTTTATATTCATGTTTCCGATAGTTCCTTATTGCATCTTGTTCGTGTAATTTAACTGTTATTAGCATCATTTCGCGCGAAGAATGTACTTACCCGAGGAATATGCCTGAATGATTCGTAGAGCGAGATTAGAACTTTGCATTGGGAGGTTTTTTTTTTAGTTAGACGCGTACGATTCATTGTGAAGACCTAACGCGCGATTTGCGAATATACAGAGTGTCTTCCAGGTTTTAACGATGACTAGACGAATATTTTCCCGGCATGATCAGCCGTCGCGCGCGCACATTCGCGAGTCGTATCTGTTGATCGTGCGTGTACCTAAAATAATAGGTCTAAAGTATAACCCGGTGAGTGATGGTGCCGTAAGAAAATTACGTCGTTTGATCATCTCCAGGTCGAACGTCGCGCGGTGCCTTCGAACGCACAACAGTGAGATCCGTAATAACTCCGAGTCTAGAAGGTCATTATTTCATTTGAAACGCAGCGCGATCATTCATCGGGATTAAACGGTTAATTTAATTGAAGTGTGTGACATCGATTTCAAAGAAAAATCATCAGTCGTGATGTTTTACAAAATTGACAAACAGAAATTATCCGTCTCGGATTCTGGCACCATTGTCTTTTACATTATGAATTTACATCATTAATAATTAGCAATCGAATGCTTTTCTTTCTTTTTGTGAGGATCTTAGAATTTACAGAAATTTTGCTCAACGTCAAAGATTCACGTATATGTTACGAACAGAAGTATGCCCAATGCATGCTTCATCTGCGCTTTCGCGAGAAAACTTCCAGTACAGATTTTTAAAACTAATTCCTTCCTACATAAATGCTACTGAATTGACAAGTACACTCATTATTCCTATGTAATTTAAAAGAATGTTATGGTGATGGTGCAACGTTAATAGCTTGATACATTTGTCTTCTAAGACTGTGGTATTTTATTTTTGTATAGAACACGAGTTGACTTATATATATATACATATATATATATATGTTATGATATAAGCAATGTGTTAGTCCATCTAGACGAGTGATAAATTGTTCAATCGCGTTATAGTCCGCTAAAGTGATGAGAAACAATAGTCAATAGCATTTCCTTGCAAACACGTCATTCCTAGCAAGCTGGTTCTACTTGATTTTATTTTACGAAAAATGCTAATATTAATGAATAAAATTGACAATGAACTATTACAACACATTTTAATCATTTGCTCAACGAACAATGTCATTTCGAGCTTCACAGTTCAATTAGTTATAATTGTAAAGTAGATTCAATATTATTATAATAATCTGAACTGTGTAGCCTAATCTCTTTTGAAGACAATAAAATCATTTTTATGCTCTATTAAGTTTATATGATGTTTACATGTCTTTATATTATATGTAACGTTATATATACATGTATAATGTTATATATATGTATATATATACATGTACATATATAACATTTTATCATACACATCAATGATTTAAGATTCCAGAGTAGTCGCTGTAATTGTTCTTGTTTAATGACGTCAATTTAATGACAACATCAATATTATCATATTGATGAAATCATAAGTTGGAAAAGAAAGTTCTGTGTTAAATTCTATGTTCTGTCAAATTAATTTTGCGACTAACTTTCATTGATTGTTCTTCAAAAGAAAAGTGTTTGTCCAATTTTACGCGTGTCAAGTATACTGCTGAATCGATAATAAGTGTCATTTTGTGGATATATTTTTTTATTTGAAAATATAATGCAAAAAATTCTAGTACGCGTTTTCTCGCTTCTAACGTCATCGAATAAGGATAGTCACAGCGACTAGTCCGGAGCCTTAAAGCATTTCTTTTAATGTAGATATATATATATAAAATTTGTAAAAACGAATGTATGCATTAACTATATTTAAATTTGCAGCTTTTGTTTCCTCTTTTCAGAATATAATTAAAATCGACTAAAACAAAAATGTTTCCAAAAATATTTATAATTGTTAAAATTATGTATTATCTAGACGTAATTTCTAGGACCCTATGAAATAATTATATGACCGATAATTACGTCTTAGAATAAATAATTAGTTTCGTTATATATACGAACTGTTGATATTATCATTTCAATATTTATAATAATTCCTTTATATGCATATATATATGTGTATATATATATATATATATATATATATATGTGTGTGTGTGTGATCGTTCAATATTTTGATCATAATTTCACAAAACCATGCTTGTGTTTATTATAATTCCTTAGTATTCATTGTTAGAGCTTCATGTTCATTCTCGTATAAATAAATAATTTTATTTCAAAAATCCTTTAATAAAACGTGCAAGCCGAAATTTCCTGTTTTAAATTTCACATGTACGTGCAGTAGGAATCTGGATTAATGGAGAATGGTTTGGTGAAATTTATGGTTACACAAACCAATTAAAAATAATTGATTTGCATTAAAGAATATCACAGAGGATTGTTTAAAAGATATTTATTACATATTTATTGTTCTTTCACCTCACGTAATCGACGCACTGCTGACCTCACTGAAGCAGCAGCTGTTGTCGAATATACCCAAGCGCCACCAGCAACCGTCCTCTTACAACGTTTGCACGACCAGATGCCAACTACGCTACGTTTCATCGCATCCTGCAAGAGAAATAATAAAATATAATTCTTCTCATATTCTATCTATATTACACAATATTTATCCTCTTATCTTAGAATAATTCAGACACACGTTTCAAATTATAGATTAAACATAATAAATGTAAGTCACACTTATGTTGCATAATAATATAGATTTTATTTTGGTTTAATTTTTAATAATAAATTTTAAAAGTAAAAATTTCTATTTACTTATGAAAAAGAGATAAAGAGTAAGAAACAAGATGCAAAGAATACATTGTGGACCAAACTTAAAACTCTATTCAAGGATAAATATTTGAGGTCATTAATAACAAATCTGAACTTAAAATTTATAATCAGCAAACAAAAAAACCCTCAAACTTCATCAAAATTGAATTATTTCCCTCATATTTGAGGTGAAAACAGTAAAATTTTGCTATCCCGTATAAAGAGTTAATATCACAAGTCACAAATAAAATATACAGAAGTTAAGAAAAAGTTATTAGTTTTATTAAAATAGAAAATATAAAATGGTTCGTTGTTTTAATTACTCACCTTGCCGCAAAACGTACAGGTGTATTTGCTGTGTTGAGTAATTTCCATCTTTTTGACCATTTTTCTAAGAGAGGCACCATATCGGGTACCATATTTGCCAGTGATTCCAACCTTCTTTGTACGTTTCGCCTGTTGAAAATTCAAGAATTTTTAAACATTACATCTCATAATTCATAATTTCTTTATTTGCTTGGACGAATATACAATGATATACACGATCGACATCTAGAACTGGGTAAACATAACCTCGTAAAATGAATCTCATGTATTCATGTAAAAAAAATATATTTTACGTAGAAATATACACATCAATAACTTCTTGAAAGCAATTATATCTATTTGGCGGTTAATATCGTACATACTTCAACAAGATTTAGAATCCATATTTCGATAAAGTATCTTACCATTTTAAAGGTTCAGAAAATTCTATCGAAGGGAACCGGAAAAAGGACTTCTCAATGTGGTAAATGCACGGACATAAATATGTCTAGACCATAGACCGAACGTTTGCCTTTATTTAGTTTTACGTCCATGGTGCTCCGACAGATGGCGTTTGCGATTTCCAATTTTCATTGGCAGTGCTGAAAATCTATAATATATGTAACATGAACTGTAGATTTTTAGCGCCGACATTGTGATTTTGGAACACAACTGAAAGTACCTCTAATTTAGGGATGGGAAAAATCATCGATGTTTTTTTCCAAACATCAATAATTTTGTCCATCCCTACTCGAATATACCCGCTGCGTTGGAGTAAGAGAGATATTAAAGTGAGATGAAGAGAGTGTCCGGGCAACGTTCTCGAACGCAGCTCTGCTGGTGAAATGGCACTTCAAGCGCGGCTAGGACCTGTCTTTATTGGTCACGAGCTACACCGATTGACTGACACTAGAAAAACACCAAATCACACCTGGTTAGCGGTGGTCAATTGCAACGCAGTCAATCGGAACGCTCCCCCTCGAGCGCATAAGCATCGAAAAAGAACGCAGCCTGATATTGTGTTAGTGACATACAACATGGCGCCTGGTACTGAGGGTCTCACAGATTTACAGAGAGATATTTTTACAAAAATCAGCAAGAATGAGGTGTGCGAGCTCAAAACATTACTGGCACCAAATAAAGTCAAAATGGATTTTGTTGACGAGAATGGCATGAGCCCTCTCCAGCACGCCTGTTACAAAGGAAACGTTGAAATCGTGCAGATGCTACTCGATCAGGTTGGTAGGTTATGGATTTGTTAATAGGTCTGTCCTTTATATCTGGACTGATTGCACCAGCTTCCACTGGTTCTATATCGAACCAATAATCATTAAAATTTCTTTTGTTATTAACTTTTTAACAAACAACAATTATTATGAATTATATCTGTTTAAAAAAATTGTTTATGTACACTTGCCTGGGATCATATATCTTCGAGAAATTTATAAAAATTGAAGAGGAATATTTTAAAAATATTAATTCAAGATATAACTACGTATAGTGTTGTATGCTTATAGGGCGCTGATGTAAATGCGTGTCAACACGAGCATGCGTATACCGCGCTTCATTTTGCTGCTTTAAGTGGTAACGCAGAGTTGTGCCATCTTCTAATGTCTCATGGTGCACGTTTGACAGCGATGAACAGTGTGGGCAGAACAGCTGCTCAAATGGCAGCATTTGTGGGAAATCACAATTGTGTAGCGACCATTAATAATTTCATTCCAAAAGTTGATATAGATTTTTACATTAAGCCGCAGGGTTTACAGACAGAACCCATGCTACCACCACATTTAGCAGATTATTTTCATAAATTCATAATGCAAGTCAATGTTAACCCTGTACGCGTGGCCATAAATTTACAGAGATTCCCAGCTCTCTTGGAGAATGCAGCAAAAGTAAGTAAAATACGCTGTTTATGAAAGGGGAAAAAAAGAAAATAATGAAACATGAGTTATATAATTAACATTTATATTATCAGTATATAAGATATGCCAAGATATCTTGGTTTTCTATCAACAAATGGATGTATTCTGTTATGTTTTCTTTTTCTATTTTTGTTAGGTACAAAAAGTATTAGAATCTATGCGCTACAGAGAAATGACACGAGGCGCTGAAACGAATGAGGTGATGGCATTCAAATATCATTATTTGAGTTGCGTCGTGGACGAAGTATTGAAATGTCAAAAACGGCAAGAGGCTATGAAAGCAGAGAAAAGCGAAAAGAATACCGAGGAGATCGAAGAGAAGAAATCGGATACTGTGGAGCTTTTGGTACGGAGATTTTTAAAGTGCAGCAAGAACGACGGCTTACCGGAATATCAGGAAGCATTTCTGAGGGAATCCGTGAGGGAATTCCCGTTCAGAGAAAGTACGATTTTTCGCCAGATGGTTGCCACCCTAGCGAGCAGAGACCCACCGTCCGCTGTTTCCGTAGTTTCTGCCGCGATCAACGGACAACGCGGCTTCAACGATAATGCTCAGATTTGCGTAACTTGCGGAGAGGATAAGGCTGTAAAAAAATGTAGTAAATGTAAAGCGGTACAATATTGCGACAGAGAATGCCAGAGATTGCATTGGTTTATGCACAAAAAAGCTTGCGCCAGACTAGGACAGTCGTCTAATAATGGAAAAGCCACGGATATAGATAAAGAGCAGATTACCAATGTTGTCGGTTCTAGACTACAAAATTTAGCTGTTAAATAAGTATACATCGTATATATACAGATCTAATGTCAGTGAAATTCGGCTGAAAAAAAGGAAACTACGCGTTTACTTACAGATCTTTGCTTTGTATATAGTCATTCGTGTGTAGAATTAGCACGTTTTTGTGTGACCGTGTCTATCGTATCTAAGAAGTGAAGTAACAGTGTTATTAATTTCGCTTATTTGAGATCGTTGAAATTGAATAATTTCTATCTTATTTTAGATGTAGTCCGCTAAACATTTACTTCAGTCTCCGATATCTGACAAGCGGCCAAAATCACCAAAGAAATTGTACAACTAAAATCAAATTCTTAGAGAGGATTCACACCTTGGCGGAAAAGCAGCAGCCAATCGGAATTCTGATTAGTCGATAATTTTTGCTTTATCTACTACTTACTACCAGCGCAAGTTCCGATTGACTGCTGCTTTCTGAATTCTCACGAGTCATTTGGTATAGAAGAAATAAGTAAAATTGTGGAGTGGAGAGATATTCCCGATATGCTTTTATAACATCATCATCATTTCGAATTAGGTTATTATTTTTATTGGATGCATATGCTAAGTTAGAAACGCATCTGTCAAATATTTTAGAACTATTATGTAAGCCTTTACAATGATCTCTGTCATTGTTGGAATAAAGAACATTATTACTGATAACAATGTTAGTTATATTATCTTGTATATTTCATACTGTTAATTCTGTTATAAATATTTGTAGTTCTTGTCACATACTCAAATTGATTAAAAGTCAAATAATGGGAAAAATGACTCGGGGAAAGTGAAATTAATGGGATTCTCCACGTCAGAGAGAAAACGCTTTTTTCCGAGATCTGTTATTTTTATTGAAGATTTACTAATAAAGTTTATTTTTTCCTTGTTTTATCAAAGCGTAATTTGTTTTCTTTTCCGAATCATTTTTCCCGTTATGTGACTTTCTAGTCACTTTAAATATCATTGTATTTCGTCGGGCTACGAACATAGGTATTCGGAACAACAGTTCCATTAAAAACAAAACACCTCCACCCAACATGAAATTTTGTTTGTTGTCAAACAGTGTTTCCTTCGAGATACGAAGGAACGGACCTCAATATGATTTAGTTTTCGATTTATATTTCACCCGTTATATGTCTGAAATGTAGCATCCTGCATAATTATAAATAATTGTACACGATAGAGTTTCAGCTTAGCAGTAAATTTTGGAACGCAACCTGTAAGAAAGGAAATTTGAAAGGTCGCGGCGTCGACGTTCGGTCGCGCTCGGCTGTTTCCGACGTCGCTCAGGCGCGGCAGCGCGCACGAGAAACGACGGCGTCTAACAGTGCCGGATCGTCGGCGAAAGGTGGCGGTGCGGTGTTGGTCGGAGAGGGCACAGAGGGCCCCTCGCGGTGGTGGCTCGCTCGCTCGCTCGTGAGAGAGCTGTTTTCGCTGCCGGGCCGTAGGAAGCGACAGCGGCTTTAGCGGTGGCGCGGCCCGCAACTCCTCGTGTGTGCCATAGCGGCCACTGCCGGATACACGACAGTAGTGCGCGTTCGTTTACAAGATGGCAGACGGTCCGTCCGCGGAGGACGCGACCGCGAACGAACTGGGGGACGATGATACCTGCGTGACGACGAGAGAACGACACAAACGCCTGGACGCCAGCATGCCGGGCATCTTCTCGGCCACCGTTCAGGACGCGGCAAAGCGCGTCCTCGACAACGTCTCGGCCGATGATCATCGTCGTCCTCCCCACGACCGCCGTGTTATTCGTCAGCAGCACGAGCAGCAACGGCATTATCCTTCCCGTCAGTCCCACCGTCATCATACACCGCATTGTAATCATTACCACTATAATCTCCATCGTCATCATCACCTTACCAATCATCGTAACAACGATCGTGTTATTAACAACGACGGCGACGGTGGTGGTAGTAGTGGCGGCGGTAGCGATGGTGTTACTACTACTACCACCACCACCAGTAGTGGCGATTCGTTGTTGCGCGTCGACGCGATCGGAGCAGCGAGCGACGAGGAGAGCAGTATCGGTGGTGTCGAGGCGCTCAGCGGCGGCAACGATGGAATCAAGATAGTCGGCGTGGATGAGGTGGACGGAGACGACGAGGACGACGGCGTCGATAGCGAGTGTGGCGATGACAGTGCTGGCGGTAGTATGAGTGCAGGTGCTGGTGGTGTCATGACCGGTCGTAGTAGTAATAATAACGCCGAAAACGACGCGCCGGAAGTGAACGACGCGGTGTCGCGCGTGAAACGGGCGAGCGTCGTCGTCGTGCGAGAACCGGACCAGACGAAGGACGAGGCCGCGAAGACCGACGGTGGCGGCCGCAGGCACCACCAGGACAGCCCGTTCAAGGGACAGGTTAGGATGGCCGAGGACACCCTCGTCGGGCCCTGCGGCAAGAAGCGATGTGCCGATCGATACGACAGCTCCGAGAGCTCTGACAGGTGAGTGAGTGAGAAGGAAAAGAAAACAAGAGGGGGGGG